ATCTATCTATCTATCGCTGACAACGAAGCAACAACGAGCTCTCCCCCTCAAGCGACCAGCCCTGGGACGAGCACCAGCGGCCCTCCCGATTTGAGGTGCCCCTGGTGCTCGTTCGTAGCCACCTGTACACGAGGGTTGAACATCCACACAGGCCACCAACACCGGACCGTTAGGTTTCGTCACAATAGTCTTCGAGATCTACCACAATCAAGTCAAACGACCGCACTACCTGTGACAAGAAGCCAAAGCTTCGACCATCGATGCCCACACTGCACTTTCTCGTCCAACAGTGCCAGAGGCCTCAAGATCCATGTGACGTCCAAACACAACGAGCCTAGAACATTATCGCAGCCGACACCCCCACCGCCGTTAACACCGCAAGTTGTCCCACCGAACTCGACCCCCGTTCATGATGTTCCTCTCGGCCTCACGGCTCCAGAGCCTCACCCCTCGACCGTTCAAGAGCCTGACCCGGCATCTACCCTTGCCCTGCTTAAACAACACCTAAGGATTTTGCCGCGAATACCTCAGAGTGCCCGAAGTCAGGCCGCCCGCAAGTACATCCACCTACTCCGCGATACAGCCGATTCCAACGACATCAGATCTTGAACACTCCTCCTCGAGTTCGCCTATTGTGCGCTTCACGCCCGACCCATAACCGGCGGTACGTCCCTCGCCACCTGCGTCAAAGAAAACATTTCGCACTACGACAGACCACTGCCTCCACCATACGGTAGGCCGAACACCCGCAAACGCGAACTAACCGACGTGAAAAGAGCAAAAGCCGCAGAGAACCGACTCGCTTCGAAGGGAGACCTCAGAGGAGCGATCCGATTACTTTCATCTACGGAATCTCTCGTGTCCCCGTCCGATCCGAAAGCACAAGAAGAAATGATCTCGAAACATCCGGATCCCCATGCCGATGACTCTACCCCGTCCCTGCCGATTCCCCGAACCCCCAGAGGCTGCAGCGGCGAGGAGATCGTCTTAGCCCTCCAAAGCTTCCCTCCCGGTAGCTCGGGCGGCCTCGATAGCCTGACGGCTCAGCACATCCTCGACCTACTAACCGTGGGCGGCGAACTACGCCGACTCCTACTGGAACAGCTTGGCAGAGTATGTGACATCATAGCAAGGGGCCGGATAGCCGACGACGCAAGACGGCTGGTCCTCGGTTCCTGGCTAGTTGCAGCAAAGAAGACGAGTGGAGACCTTCGCCCAATCGCCGTCGGATGTACCCTTCGCCGCCTCACGGCGAAAATCCTTCTCGCTAGGGTCCGCGCCGATGCGACAGCCTACCTCTGCCCTCGACAACTCGGCTTCGCCACAAAGGGCGGAGGAGAAATCGCCGTACACAGCATCCGCTCATACCTTCAGATGACCAAGAAATGCTCATTGTTGAAAGTTGACTTCCAAAATGCGTTCAACAGTCACCGTCGCGACACGATGCTGAAAGAAACACATGAGCGAGTCCCAGAAATCTACTCCATGGTTGCACAGACTTACTCGGAACCGACCCCGATATACTTCGGTAGCAGAGTCATAGAATCTCGAACAGGTTGCCAACAGGGAGATGTCTTCTCCCCACTACTCTTCTGCCTAGTCGTCCATCGGACCCTACGCTCCCTCGAGAGCGAAATATGTATCGGTTTCCTCGACGATTTCACACTGGTTAGCGAAGACCCCGAGAAGATACTCCGTGACCTCGACAAGATCCGCTCCGACCACAATATTCATGGCCTATCGATCAAACCATCGAAATGCGAGCTGTTCCTGCATGGGACTCAAACAGCTGAGCACGATGACATCGCACACCGGGTCGATTCTCGACTCCCTGGCTGTCGTATCATCAGAGACGAAGCGGATCTGGAACTTTTAGGGGCCCCCGTCTTTGAGACCGGGATTGCAGAAGCACTCAAGAAGAAGGAAAAGAAATACGAACTGATCTTCCAACGACTAGAACACGTCGGCAGTCACGTCGCCGCGTATATTGTCCAGAGGGCGGCCGGAGTCCCGAAACTGACGTATCTCTTGCGAACTTGCCCAGCATTCAAATCGGAGACCTTACTGAAGCGACTAGACTACATGTTCACAGGCTGTTTCGAGAATATCCTGAAAACTTCCATATCAGAGGATGCTCTCACGCAGCTGTCGCTACCCGCATCTAAGGGTGGATTCGGTATCCCGACCCCCTCGATGACGGCTCTTCCGGCCTTCGCTTCGTCTTGTCACGCTTCCGAACCGGAGGTGCTCGACATCCTGTCACGTTCCCGCACCGACCGCATTCATCTTCGTGATGAGGCGATTGAAACATTCGCGGCCAGATACGGTACCGTCCCGGAGGTTGAAGATCGCGCAGTTCAAAAGAAATGGAGTGATATCGCCAGTGATACGATCATATCGTCTTTACGCCAGAGATTTTCCCACTCCGAAACCGATACGATCAGACTTTGCAACGCTTCGGTCCCGGAATCGGGCTGGTGGCTTCAAACAATGCCCAGCATGAACATCGGCACCCTCCTGGAAGATAGGGATTTCATACTCGCAGCGAAACTCCGATTGGGTTTGCCCCTGATGGAAGAAGTGACTTGCGCCTGCGGGAACGTAGCGGACCGCTACGGACTCCACCGCTTGAGTAGTGTGTCCCTTGCATCCGGGAGAATGTCTCGGCACGCTGCAATCAACGATCTGGTAGCAAGAGCTTTAAGGCAGTCCGGAACAACAAGCACGAAAGAGCCCAGAAACCTATCAACAAACGACATGTTGAGACCCGACGGCATTTCACATGAACCATGGTCTCGAGGCCAACAACTCATCTGGGATGTGACAATCAGAGATTCGTTTGCACCGAGTAATAGACAAATAGCCAGATCAGCGCGGGCGGTGGCGGCCAAAGCCGAACAAGAGAAAAGGACCAAGTATCGGGAATTCCTCGAAACTTACACTTTCGTCCCTTTTGTCATTGAATCCACCGGCGTGTGGGGCTCGGACGCTCTGAAGTTGACAAAAGAAATCGGACGCCGTATAGTGGCCCGCGGTGGCGATCGCCGAGCTGCGATGTACATACATAAGACAGCGCGTCGCTGTAGAAGTACAGAGGGGGAACGCTAGGCTCGTTTCGGGCATAGAATACTGCCCTAGAACGTTAGGAGAGCTCGATCTTCTGTGCGGATGATAGATCATATCTACCATCTGTCGAATGCCAAGTTTCGGATAAATAAACGATTTATCTATCTATCTATCTATCTATCCAACTTCATTTAAACGAATCAAGTCTCTGAATGAATGAATGTTATCTATCTATCTATCTATCTAGTAACCTATCTCTGAATGTTCTTCGAGATCAGATTGGCGATTCATATATTTATCAATGTTAATGATCAAAGACCGAGATCAAAGAAAAAATGTTGTCGGGAACGATGAGCTTTCAATTTATTCCGAAAGTAGTAGATCGCGTCGGTAATTGTCTACGATCCACTGCCAGTCGGTTTCTGAGATGCGAAACATATATTCGAGCGTTTCGACTACCGCATCTTTATGAATCATCGCAAGCTCGAATGCGTTTCTAAATACATATTGGAATGCGGAGTATGGGTCGGACGAGTACATGATGGCTGAAATGATGACTCTAGCCTCATCGGACAAATCGGGCGAATACGGAGATCTTTCGAAAAATAGTCGATGACTCGATATTGCATCGGCCGACGACATGAATCCAGATTGGATGACGATAGCATCCCATTCTTTTTGAGGGAGCCCGAAGGCGTATTGAATTGCCTCGATGATGGCAGCCCGATGCAGCACGGCGTAGTAAAAGTCGTTTCTATAGACATACAGGAGAGCTTGCTCTGCATTCTCAGAGTACATGATACCGTTCAAAACGACTTTGCTGCTCGCTGACAACGCCGGAGAAAATCGACAGGGTTCTTTGTATTCAGGATGAACAAACTCATCCTCATCCATGATGACTTCGACTTGTCTCGGAGGGCTGTGGGACAAATCGCCTCCAACCCTCGTCGACATATTCGAACTCGCTCCTCCTGAACTCTCGATTTGAATATCCTCGACCAATTGCGCGAGCATGTCTTTCGAGCCTTCGTCGGTCACAGAAACGGTGGAGTCGGAGCTCGTAATGGGATCGAACGCTTCCCGACTTCGATTGGTGGCGTCAACTTTCCCAGCTATACGATATCTCTGGAGATATTCGTCCCACTTGTGAGGACATCTTGCTGGTTTGGCTATCGCACGATACGCTCTTAAGCTGCTCTTTACGAAATTCACGTCCATAGGCTTGTCGGAAGCTTTGATGAAAACATGGTAATGAGCTTCCTTTTCGTTGCAGAGACAACCGTATGTTCTCCGCCTGCTCTCTTCGAACGCTACGATGTAGTAGTCCACGCCTCTCATTCTCCGCAATTTCTCCACCAACGTATCTTCTACTGCTTGATCTCTTGTCTCCCGACGGATGATTACTGACACGTATCTCGCGTTGACGGACATTTCCTATAACAATAGAAGATACTATGTATAGATATACTCTACCGTGGACACTTATGTTATCATAATAACTTGACTGTGACTTACGATAATGCTTGAAATTAGTATAGTCTCACGAGAAGAATCGAAGAAGGCACGATGAGTGTTCGAAAAGTTCGCGATGTTTACCTCGATCATTTTGGCGGCAAATTCGAAAGCTCTAGTTTCTCCAGCGTTCGATCTGGGAGGCACTCACATAGGAAAAAAATCTAAGCCAAATCTTACTAAGATTCAGTAATCTTACTCCAAGATTAAAAAACGACGTTCAACCTGACCTTGAGCCGACCTTGAGCCGACCTTGAGCCGACCTAGATCGGACCTTGACCGAATATTAACCGTATCTTGACCAACGACATTTCTAGTATACTGGACAAAACTTATGCATCGATCTATATGTAACCTAACTTAACCGATAGGAACTAAATTAGGTTAGGTCAAGGTCAAGGTCAAGGTCAAAGTCAAGGTCAAGGTTAGGTTAGGTTAGGTTAGGTTTTTTTTTTTTTTGTATTTAGTTTTAAGAGGAGATGTAGAAAATGCATTATGCACGCCCGGTCTACTTTCCCAACTCGTCGTCTCAACAGAACGCGCACTTAGGGGTTTCGCCGGGTAGTGTGCGACTCTCACGCACTAAAAACTACCTTCTCCTCTCATCCGAACGGGGACAGGATAGCGCCTTTCGGCATTCCAACTGTTTCCCGACGGGGGATACTCAATTAGCCTTATACTCCCGAGCTGTGTTGTTCTGTGTTGGGTGGCGTCTCTTGAACGAGGCGGTCTTGCTTGGTGTCTTTTTCTCCTCGCTGACTCTCAGCTTGGTACTTTATTGCTTTGGTTTTGTATGCGTTCAGCCCTGTATTTTTTCTTATCTTTGCTGTTTAATTTGTTTGTTCGTGGAACGGGGTCCACTTAATCTTTTTCGGGGGGTACTACGGTGACCTGGCTTTCAACCGAGGCATGAGCGGACCATTGCCCATGTCCGGTGGCCTGGTCACCTCTTTTATTGAGTTGCGCGTGTAGGGATCTGTTTTGGGTAGTTCTATTTTTCTGTTGTTGTTTCTTCCGGCTAACCACTGCACGGATTGCTTGAACTTTGTTGCTCTAGCTTCGCTTCTTGTTTCTCTAGCTTGCTAATCCGGAAGGCTTCTTTTTCTTCGATTGACATTAGTTTCATTCTAAGTTTCTCAAATATAGTCAAGTGTAACACTTGTGTTTCTCGGGTTGTGTTTTC